CTTTAAAAAAATAAAAGAATTAGTTCAAGAGTTCCAATATTCAAATAACAGCAGTTCCAGATAGAATATACATATATAGATGGCACACAAAGATGCATACATAAAAGCAGACACAACACAGTACAGAGGCGTACACACAAGTACATGTAGACACACAGACACATACACCTAAACACAGACTTGGAGACACAAACATACAACCACACATGTACGCATCCAAACAGATACACGAACACACACACACCAGACCTACAGTCACACACACAGAGGAGGGAATCATCAACAAGAAAATTAAATTTCCTAGACCTAGAAGGCACTCATGTTTACAGCAGAAGAATTTTTGGATTGCATATTACATGGATAAATGTTCAGAACCTAGAAACAAAGGAAAGACCTACAAGTTTCCAGAGGCTGGGGGGGGGCGGGCAGATATGACATACCAAAGATCAGGAATCAGAACAACTTTGTACTGCTCAACAACATTAGAAACCAGAAGACAACAACTTAAAAAATTCTGAAAAAAAATTATTTCCCACCTGCAATTCTCTATTCAAACAACCGACAAATCCTATTTAAGCTTTCAGTTTCATACATCCAAATTCTCAAAAGTTTTCTTTTTTTAAAAAACATTTATTTATGCATGTAAGAACTGGGGAACAGGCCAGAGGTGCAAGGGGTGAGACGATTCACCAGAGACAGAGTGGGGAACAGAACAGGCAGACTGACTGAAATACTCTGCTGAGGGGAGCAGCGGGTGAGTCAGGAGGGGTCTGCTGCACCACGTGGGTATCTCTGTGGCCGGGGATCGAACTCGTGCTGCAGTGGTTGCAGATAGCTTCATAGGTTGCGTCTTTTTTTTTTTTATTTATACAAGAGCTGGGGTACAGGCCAGATGCTCGGGAGGGTGAAAGGATTCACCCAAGACGGAACAGGGAACAAAACAGGCAGACTGACGAAATACACTGCTGAGGAGGGCAGTGGGAGAGACAGGAGAGGTCTGCTTCACCATGTGGGTTGCTCCCTGGCTGGCCGGGGATAAAACTTGTGCTGCAGAGGCTGCGGATTTCTTCATAGTGCGGTGCTTAACCCCTTGCACCACCAGGTAGGCCCTGCATGGTTTATCTTTAAATGGTGTTGGCTAGCCATAGTGATCTAAATACTAAATATTGATTTCACCAGAATCATAATTTATAGCTATATCAGCAATATGAGGAAAGTATGCATGGGAGGAGGGGTTCTAGGAGAAGAAAAATAGAGGAAAACATATCTTCAATGCCCATCATGGAGAATCAATAGATAATGCCTTCAATAGAAAAATCAAGACATTTCCATTCAGACCTGTTAGTTAGAGAAGTGTTACTAAATAGACAAAAAGCCAAAAAACAAACAAGCAAAAAAAAACTAGCTGAAAGATTTATTGCTCATGTGGTAAAGCAAATGGAGTAGAAGAGGTGGGGGGCAACTGGGTTTGGTAAGAAACCCTGCAGTGCTATATAAGGTATGTACACACACACACACGCACACACACATCTATGTATACACATACATATATGTATGTATATAACCATGACAAGAGACTTTTTTTAAAAGAACAGTAATTTTAAATTAAAAAAACAAAATTTATGCACCGAAATTACAATCACATAGCAGAGAACTGCATATATTTAAATTCCCAAGAGTGGAGGAATGGTAAAGTAATTTGGGTTACACCCACACAATTTTATATGCAACTAAATTAAAATAATATTTACAAGGAAGTTATAATGCCATGAGCAAATGCCTATGACCCAATGTTAAGTGAAACTAATAGGCTACAAAATATTCTATATGTGCTAAGTTTTATCTGTTTTTTTAATAAATAAAATTTTGCATAGAAATAAAAATGGAAGTGGAGATACTAAAATATTAAGAAGTTGGATTTATATGATAATTGGACTTTGGAGTCTTTAAAAGTCATTTCTATTTTTCTGTATTTAACAAATACTCTTTGAGAACTTAAAAAAAATATTCTTAAATGGCCATTTTATCCAAAGCAATATACAGGTCCAAAGCAATCCCTATCAAAATTACAATGCAATTCTTCAAGGAAATAGGACAAATAGTAGCAAAATTTGTATGGAGCCACAAAAGACCCCAAACATTCGAAGAAATCTTGAGAAAAAGGAATGGAGGTATCATGTGCCCTGACTTCAAATTATACTACAAAGGTACAGAAATCAAAACCACATGGTTTTGGAATAAAAATAGACACACAGATAAATGGAATAAAATTGCAAGCCTAGAAATAACTATGGAGAGTTAATTTACAACAAAGGAGCCAAGAACATGCAAATGGTGTTGGGATAACTGAATAGCCATGTGCAAAAGAATAAAACTAACCCACTGGGAACAGAAATAAGCAGGAAATCAAAGATCTTTGGGCACTGGAATGGTTTCAGAAGTCAGATGTCAACTAAACAAAGCTGTTAGCTATGAAGATGCCTTGTGATCAGAAACACTTAACCTATCGGAATCTATACACCCTTGGTAGCATGTTAGAACTTGCTGGAATGAAAAACAACCATAAAATATTAAGATGTAAGTGACCAGGCACAGATTGACACAATATGTCTAGAGAAATATTCATTAGGACAAAAAGAAATTACATTAACTTTTTTATTGTTTACCTTGTTGAAATATTTTTTACTTTTAAATACAATTTTTCAATAATAAGATTCAAATTTTTAATTTTATATGTTTTGAAAAGTTGTGTTTTTATAAGAATTTGTTCATTCTATTTAAACTTTCATTTTTTAAAAAGATTTATTTATTTATGCATACAAGAACTGGGGTACAGGCCAGAGGTGTGTGTGGGGGGGGGGGTGTGAGAGGATTCACCAGAGACAGAGTGGGGAACAGAACAGGCAGACTGACTGAAATACACTGCTGAGGGGAGCAGCGGGTGCGTCAGGAGAGGTCTGCTGTGCCATGTGGTTTGCTCCCTGGCCGGCCAGGGATGGAACTTGAGCTGCAGAGGCTGCGGTTGTGCTGCAGAGGCTGCAGATTGCTTTATAGTGCGGAGCTTAACCCCTTGCGCCGCCAGGGAGGCCCCTATTTAAACTTTCAAATAGTTTATCAGAAAGTTTTTCATAATATTCTCTCTTTTTTCTCCTTGTCTGTGGCTCTGAAGTGGATGTCCTCTTTTTCATTCTTAGCATTGCTTATTTACACCTTCTTTAAAATTAGGGCATTATCAATTTTATTAGTCTTTTCAATAAACCAAACCGGGCTTCGCTGATGCCTTCTGTTTTGTGTGGATTCTCTTTCATTGATTTCTGATCTTATCTTTACTATCCAGGTTTCCCTTCTACTTTCTTAGGTATATTTTGTTGTCGCTGTTGATGGTGATATTTACCTAGTTTTTTGAGATAAATGTTAAATCTTCCTATGCTTCTAACAGTATAAATTTCCTTATAAACATATGTTTACCTTCTACAAGTCATGACTAAAATATTTTTATCATTCAGTTAAAAAATGTGTAGTAGTTTTGACTCTCACTATTTCTCAAACATAAATTAGATCTCGCCAAAAAGTTAGTGCTCTCCCATTCCTTATCTTAACCAAGAATGTTAGACAATACCCAGATGCCTGCATTGTAGAATAATTAATGCACCTTTTTGTCAGGTAGCCTGCTTTGCATAAACATTTATAAATGGAAGCCCGAACTCTGGAAAGGAGGTGCAGTTTATCAGAATTTTCTGGTGCTTGTTACCTGGGTTTAAATCTTCTGAAAGACCATGAAATAATGCTCTATCACTAACCTTCTCAGTTGCGCTTACACAGGGGTGGTTATTACAGTCATCACTCTGTGTGTTGGGCTTTTTTCCCCCCTCACTTTTTTCTTCCTTGTGGGATGATATCCCATATACAGCATATCATCCCAGTTCATAGAGATCTTTCTCATTCATTTGTAGAGCTGCATAGCATTCCATTGTGTTTGGATGTACCACAGTTTATTCAACCATTCCCCATGTGTGAGCATTTAGATTGTTCCCAGCATTTGCAGTTACAAACAATACTGCAATGAGTAACTTTGAGGCACTGACTTTTTCAAGAGGAAATGGTGCAGGATCTGAAGGCTGATGTATGGGCTTCCAGAGATTCTGTTTCCTCTCTGACGACCATGCTGCCGCTATAGTTACAGCCCAGGCCCCAGATTAGTCCCTGGTCACCCTAATGGAGCAGAGGGACCTTTGTCTCCTTATTTGCTTCTACAGGCAGGCCACTTGAACAGGTTGCTTAGTTCCTCTTTGTTGGTCCACTCCTCTAAGTTACCTTCTTAGAGGTTCATAATATTTATAATTTGGGGTTCCCTGCAAGGGTGTTGACCCTTCTGCATAGTCCACAATTGCAACAATTCTTAAACAATGCCAAGAAGAGCTACAGATAGACCAAATACTCTTGCATGCATGTGAGCTCAGCTGTGTCAGTATAGGAAGACAATAGGCCTGAAATACACAGGAAAGTCACTATAACATGAACAGGCTGTGAGTCTGGAGTTTACAGTGGTCCAAGATGGCTTCCTCATCTCTCGTCACATACTGAGTGTGAGTGGACTTTCTCATGCTCCAAATATTACCTGCTTGGTGAAGATTACCTTCTGAGCCTGGTGGAAGGCCTGACTGGGGACGCTAGTGGCAGCCTCGCTGCTATTCATGATTCATCCCGAGCCTGGATAGTAGGAGGTAAGGTAAATGGCCCCAGTTAGACTATCCTAGAGGCCTGTGGCCACCTGGAGGCTCCTCTGGGCTGGAGTAGAGCTTTGGGGCAGAGATCAAAGTATCTCCCAGGAGTCTGCAGCACTTACCTTGGCTGAGTGCGGGGCCCTTTCTGCCAGAAGACTGTTCTTTTTGTACATTTGCCTTCAAGTATAGAACACCCACACGCACTAGTTTCTTGAAAGACTTTGTATTATTTAAATATGATAATAACTTTGCAAGGATGAATATTTTCTTCCCTATTTTCTTTATTAATTTTTAATTTTTAATTTTTTTATAGAGGCATGTTTTATTTGTTTGTTTGTTTGTTTGTTTGTTTATACATGCACTGGGTACAGTCAGAAGCGCGGGAGGGTGAGAGAATTCACCAGAGCCAGAGCGGGCAGCAGAGCAGGCAGAAGGACCGAAGTACACTGCTGAGGGGAGCAGCGGGCGGCAGGAGAGGTCTGCGCGCCATGCGGGACCCTCCTCCGGTGGCTGGGGAGCAGCCGGGGATCGAACCGGCGGCGCTGCAGAGGCCGTGGGCAGCTTTGCAACCCAGCGCTCAACTGCTGTGCCGCTGGGGAGGCCCTCTTCCCTATTTTATGAACGAGGAAAGAGAGGTTCAGAGAAGTTAAGTAACTTGCCCAAGAATGCGCAGTAACCAGCAGCCATGATTTGAAACCACATCTGTCTGACTCCAGAACTCTAGTTCTTTTCAAAAAAGAACACAAGTCCAACGAAGTATTAAACTCTAGAAGCTATTAAACTCTAGAATCATAGGTTCAGGTTCATAGAATCATTTATAACCAGGAGTCAGACACTACATGGGATGACTGGAAAAGCAGGAGACCTAAAAATTGCTACTTTCAGCAAATCACTTAAACCAGCCTCCTCATGTGAAAAGCAGGACTTGAGTGCAGGGCTATTATTATGCCCGTCAAATAGCTGCCTTTGGTGGAGTCTGTTGTTATAGGTCAGTTCCTTTGCATAGCATCGCTAAATATTCTATATATCAGCCCTGGTCCCACACCTACTCTCCTTGGTCCAATGAGACCTCAGTAAACTATAAGAACGCTACACCAAGGTTAATGAGACTTAGAATTCCTGGGCACCCAAGGTCAGCTTAGCCTATGCTGTTGCATGGGGCCTGTGCTTAGTTTAATAATCTGTTGCCCCTGTCTTGCAATTCCTAATAACAGGAGGCCCCACATTTTCATTTTGCACTGGGTCCCACCAATTATGTAACTGTTTCTGCAGGCAAAAATGACAGGCTGGAGAGACTGAGAAAAATACTCTACCATCTCCAATCAGATTGCATGGGATTGAGAATATACACAATGATTTTTTTCTTGAAGTTACTTGAGTGTTGACTCACCTGCCTCCTGGCTATTGAGGGAAAAGAGCTGATCATAGAAAGTGGCTTTGTCCTGTGCATGGTCAGCAAGGTGCCTCAGACCCTTCAGGCTGCTACAACAAGATACCACATACTGGGTTGCTTACAAACAACAGATGTTTATTTCTCACAGCTCTGGTGTCCGGAAAACCCAAGTCAAGGCGCCACCAGATTCGGAGTCTGGTGAAGGCCTGCTTTCTGGTTCAAGCCAGCTACTTCTCACTGTGTCCTCTTATGGTGCATGAAGGGAGGGAGTTCTGGAGTTCCAAGGGGTCTTTTCTTTAAAACTCTAATCCCATCCATAAAGGCTCCATCCTCATGACTTAATCACTTCCCAAATGCTCCACCTCATAGTACCACCACCTTGAGTGTTAGGATTTCAACATATGGCTTTTTCGGAGACACATCTATTCAATCTATAGAACATGGTATATGAAAAACACTAAGCATAAAGGGCTGAAAAACAGTCATTATTCAAAGCAAGAATATCTTCTGAGCACTTGTTCTGTGCCCAGTCCTGTGCCAGTTCTTTTTTTTTTTTTTTAAGATTTATTTATTTATTTATACAAGAACCAGGGTACAGGCCAGATGTGTGGGAGGGTGAGAGAATTCACCAGAAAGAGAGTGGGGAGCAGAACAGGCAGACTGACGAAATACACTGCTGAGGGGAGCAGCTGGCACGACAGGAGAGGTCTGCCGTGCCTTATGGGACCCTTGCCAGCCGGCCGGGATCCAACTGGCACTGCAGAGGCTGTGGGCAGCTTCACAGCGCTGCACTCAACCACCTGCGCCTCCAGGGGAGGCCCCCTGTGCCAGTTCTTATAGGGAACAAGAAGGACCACGCTCAGGGGGTTCCCAGCTGGAAAAGAAGTTGGTGAACATATCTATATGGATAACTTTGGGAAGAACTTCAAATGTGGCACACACCTATGGTTCAGTGGTACAGAGATGGAATTCAGAGGGGCTGCTGGAGGCTGGGCTGTCAAGAAGATCACTATGTCAGGGTTGAACTTAGGATCAAAACTGATACGTGGGACTTAGTTACTGCAGGAATGGAACCATCCAGGTCTCAGCCCTAGGTGTGGATGCTTATTTTCCCTCATGTTAGGTCTTATTCTTGACATTGCAGTAGAGTTGGGGAGTATTGCTGGTTGGGTTCTCTGGAAGGGGACAGTAAGATGGAGCTCTGGGTGTGTATTAGTTTCCTGTGGCTGCTATAACAAATTATTACAAAGTAGGTGACTTTATTCTCTCATTCTCCAGGTCAGAAGTCTAAGATGAGTTTCTCTGGGTTGAAATCAATGCTATGGGAAGAATGCTCATCCCTTCTCTTCCAGAATAGGCCAGAATACAACTGTCTCAGAAGATTTTCAGGAAGCTTCATGCATGCCCTTCCAGAAGCTTGGCCTCTCATTTTTACTGTCATGATTGCCCTGGAGATAGCACCCGGAGTAGTCAAAAGGAAAACCCCAAAGGCAACCTAGTACACCATGACATGGACTTTTCTGGTCCATCTTTAAATGTGAGTGAAATGACCAGACGATAGTACAGGATGAGTCAGAGGTTAGCAGGAAAGAACCAGAAGCAGGAGTTTTGGCCTTAGCCCAGTAAGTCTCTCTTTCCCCTGGGCCTCAGTTTCCTTATCTGCAAAGTGAGGCCTGTTAGGCCAGGGATTATGACCTTTATGGTGGTGAGTCAGAGGTAGAAAACAGGAGGCCAACAGAGAGACCCCAGAAGGTACAGGACTGGCAACAAGTCTGGGTAACAAGGCCCCCACCAATGTTTGAATGGTTAAAGCAAGAACAGTACATGGAAGGTCACATACCACCTGGTTAAATATTTTAAAACAGTAAACTGTTGAATAAAATATGTACTATTTGTTGACCATGAGAAGCACTTTTATAATATCCTATGAGGCCAAGTTTGTAGGAAAATTCTCAGGCCCTTTAGCAAATCCAGCACTGGAGCCCTCAATGTGGACAAAGCTGGCGCAGGTCGCTGACTGTAGTTCTGCTGAGAATGTTCTCTCAGTCCCCAACAAACCTCCTGCTCTAGGCACCCTGTGCTGTGCTTGCTTTGAAATCAGTCTTTGCCATTGGACCCTGAGCTTCCCCTACCAGTGACCAAGTGCGGCAGGGATGTAAGGGCCACCCATTCTTGGGAGACACGCAGAATGGCTTCGCGACAACACCCCGACTGCCCGGCCCAACCTTCGTTTGCTCGGGGAAGGAAACCAGCCTAAGAGGCTCTTGCCTGAACCGCCCTCCTCTCTTTTCCTCGGGCTCAGACTTGCAATACAACCTGGTGGCTCTCCCAGCCGTCTCTGGCTCGCTCCCTCCTCCTTTGCTTTGCACAGGCATTTTCTCTAATACAGTCCTTGCCATCCCATCCCGTCTTGACACCTGCCCTCTGAGGACTGGACAGGCACACTGGCCCCCCAGCTCGCCCCCTTCTCTTCCTACTCTGACTCCTTCCCACAGCATGAGATGCCTCGCACACGCACAGGGTATGTCTTGTCCGTGTGTGCCTTTAGCCTAGTCTCCTCACCTCGGGATGAGGGCTAGTTCAGGGGTGCAGAGAGCAGGAAGGGGACCTTTCTTGTCAGCGTCTGATACGGTCTGCACCTTATTGCCTTCCCTCTACACCAGCCCCTGACCTCCGTGGCTCTGTCGCGTTGCCCTGACTGGGCCTGCTTTGGAAACACACTTTGTAAACACTGGGCTGGGAATAGGAAGCCCTTCGGATCTCTGTCTTTTAGACTAACTGGAAAATCTGGTGGAAAACAGAGGCCCCTGACTCTGAAAGAGATCGAGTGACTGTCCACACCCAGGTCTTCTGAGCCCGCCCTGGGGCTCTTCCATGAAATCCCAGCCAGCAGGGCAACTGCGTAGCTGCATGTTGGAAGAGGGGTGCGCCTCAGTCCCTGGGAATGTCTAAATGTCTAAAAGAGAGATGCTTCTTTCAGTCTTGCAGCAACTTGACTCGGGAATGGAGGGCCAAGGATGTTGTCCCTGGAGGCCCGTTAAGCCAGCTCCAGCATCCTCAGTACTTGTCATTATATTTGCAGTCTGGGTAGCGGTAGGCAAATCTGGGGTCACAGGTTCTCAAGGGCCTCAAGATGTCCTTCAGTCGGCTGCCAGCCCCGAGGACCTCGTGGTCAGGGCGGGTGCCTTCCCCGCACTGAGTGAGTGTGGCATCTATCTCTTCCTGCACCAGGGATGGAAACTTCCCTTGGAGAAGTCGAGGCAGCACCCGACGACACACTAGCACCAGGCTTTGCTTCTCAGGGACGGTGTCACAGGAGGGCAGCTTGGCCTGACAGTCAGAAACCAGGCAGCTAAAGATGTCTTTATTCTCTCCTGTCCTGGCGGCTGCTTGGCTGCCTAGAAGAGAAATGGGGAATATTACACACATTGCAACCTGTGCTCCCTGGGGGACGCATTGCTAATTACAATTGTTGGGAGAAGTGTTTTAGTCTCTTAGCACCTCCCATCACCAGGAGACCTAGGGTTCAGGGACAGGTTGAGGTCAAGACGTGGAAAGCCCACTTACCCCTCTAAGAAGTTGGGCTCCTAATTGCAGGGCTCACATCCGTATTGTGCTTCTCCCACTATTATTACTGAATTAGGAAACTCAGGAAATTACTAGGACCAGTTTCATTTTCCTTTTTAAAATAGAAAGTCAGGAGAAAGAAGAGGTAATCTAGAAGATGCACTTCTTAACAGTTGTAGCAAGACCACCTTACCACTTAGTGGTTTACACAGTCTGCATATTCCGGATAAGTCTCACTTCTTCTGAGTGGACTCTTCTTAATAAAAGCAAATCAGAAAATGAGTAAGTTGTTTTAATTGGTCTATATTTGTAGACCTTCTTATATAAACAGTATCAGAAATTGGAGAAGAAAATCCTTTGTCTTACTTATTACGGGGACCAGAAAATTAGATCACCCTTAGAGATTGGGACGTTCAAAGGATTCTAGAACCCTGGATGTGCCTGTGCACTTAGAAACACGAATCATGTATACACCTCGCTGGGTGCCAGGTTTTTAAATTTGAAACTTTATGAAAAAAGCGAAAGTGCCAAAATGGATCATAAAATGTACCAGTGAATCATCCAGATATTTCAGTTTCAGATAAAAGCTAAAAGCATCTGGTGAGAGAGGCTCTGAGGGCACGATGGATCCCAGGATGGTGCGGTGAGGAGGGGCAGGCAGGTCCCCAGCCCACCCACACGGAATTGGACTGCGATGTCTCCGAGCGCGCTTTGGAGGCCACCAAGCAAAATCCCCCCTTCTCAACATGGACAAGATCATGCACCGTGCTCCTTCAGAGATGGAGTTGGATCAGAGACTCAGAATGGGGACAGGGACATTTTTACCTGCCACCTGACATTGCCTGAACCCGGGCTGCTCTCACTGTGACAGAGACTGGAAAGGCCCCATGGTCTGCTGCCCAGTCACCCCTTCCTAGCTCCTGCCACTCTGACTTCCTCTCTGACAGCTGCTCCATCAGGCCCATGCTGGGTACCTTCCTGCTTGTCGATGACACCCAGTGCGCTGGCATCTCGGATGAACAGATGCCCGTTGTTAAAGATGCCAAACATGCCTGCGTCAACGTGGGTGAAGTAGAAAAAGTAGTTCAAGTCGTTGCTCCTCAGAGACTCCAGGACACCGAGGAGCTGGTAAGCCAGGTCGGCTGCCTGGTCTGGGGGTGCACCATAGAATTCCTGCAGCGGGCTGGTGCCGATGCTGACCAGGAATCTGCCACAGGAGCCCAGGTACTTGGGCAGTGGCCATCCCTCAGCGCCAGGGAAGATCTGCCGAGCCAGAAGGAGGAAGCATTAGCGGATTCCAGAGAACAAGTCACGGGAACAGCTCTGTCTTTGCCTGTCACCAGGAGCACACAGAAAGGCCAGCCTTCCGCAAGCACCCTCTGTCTCAAAACATAGCCGACCTTTTCTTACACCTCTTGGAAGAGGGCGCCCCTTTTTTATTCCACCGTTGGTGGAGCCATTTAGTAAAAGACACTTTTGTTTTCACACAGTGGATTGCATTTCAGTGGCATTTCCCACACCGAGGTAACTTGCCAATGAACTTGCTGAGATTTTACATGGTATTCAGAATTCAGGACTATATGCTGATGTGAAGAATTATATAGTTGAAAAAATATGAGTAGCATTTGAGATTTCACAGAGATCACTGCTGAGGAAGAGGCCATGGAGAAAGAAAAAGAGGGTCAAGTTTAGGTTGATTTAAAGAAAAATATTTTTAAAAATGATAGTGCTGATACCTCTTCCTGGGACATGGCAAAAACCATGAAGGGGAAGAAAGTGAAAATCAAAAAAGAAAGTGAAAATCAAAATCAACAAACAACTATGAACCAGAGACACTCTATGGGGGGTGGGGGGCGGGGAGGGGAGGGATTGGGGTCAAAATAAGGGGGTTGCAATTGTATGGGGAATATAAAAATAAAATTTATTAAAAAAAAAAAAAAACCGTGAATGTCCGCGGGACCCGGGGCTCACTCACCTGGCTGGGCTAACTACGCGCTCACAGACCCTCCCACTACCACAGCTTTGCGGGTCTTTTCTGTCTCCTTGTAAGAACTTCAGACTCGTGGATCTCTTAGATGAAAGAGGGAGGAGGGAATCCTGGCCAGTCTTTTCTTGACTACTTATCGGAGCAGCCGTATTTAGAATGGTGTTTGTTTAAACTATGGGAGACATGACCGAAACTAGTAATACTTAGCACTGTTTTTTCTTATTATCCTTCTTAAATAGGTGAAGTCACCCCCTCTCTGATGATTTTCCCTGGTTTTCTACCCATTAAAATCCATCTATCACATTCCAAAGAGCCTTTTCTTGCTCCCTGGCCCACCATTTAAAATGCCAGTGTTACCACATGTGTTTTAGCAAAAAAACACACAGGCCCTGTAGTCAGGCAGCTCTGGGTTTGGGTTTTATCGCTGACACTGGCTAAGTGACTTTGGACAAGTCACTTCATTCCTGAGCCCCGCGTACCTCATCTGGAAAAAGGGTCAATAAAATGTTCTTGGGAGTTTGTTGAGTTGTCACGAGCGTTAAATGAGATGATGATGGATAGCATTCAACACCATGCCTGGCACATAGTAGGTGCTCAAGAAATGAGAGTTGTTCTGTATTTAGCCATCGCCCTTTTGCTCAATAATATGGAATCATTATATAATTTGTATATAATCACATATACATTCATATCTATATGATTGGCACAAAAAACTAGGAAGTGAAAAAAGGAGCAGGAAGAGGAGGAAGCGTAGAGCGATGAAGAGGAAAAGAAAAGGAGAAAAAGCGGAAGAGGACTAAGAGGAGGAGGGATCGCACATTGAATTGTAACTAATCTTTATTATTAATTGTATATGCTTATATATTATATAGAGCCATGTAAATAATTATTTTTATATAATTAATTACAATGATATTAACTGTCTTCCTCGTGGCTTCTTCCTCCCCCACCTGCACTTTCACTCTCTCCCCTTCCTCCTCTCCCTTCTCCTGCCCCTTCCTCCTCCGGCTGGTCCCCTCCCCCCTCTCCTCTCCTCCTCCCCCTCCCTCCGCCTCTCCCTTCTCCCTTCCCTTTTCTGCTCTTCCCTCCGCTCCGCTCCATAGTTCCTTTTGTGCTCCTTCTGCGAGTGCCCTGAGTTTTGGGGTTTGGGCTGATGGCTGGGACTGGGCGCCACCTTGCTGTGGACGTTGGCTGACTTGCTCCGTGCCCGCGTCTAGACTGGAGGCTGCGTGAAGGCCGCCCGCTGTGCCTGGCCCGCGCACCAGCGCATCCCCAGGCCCCGGGGCGCTGTCCTGTCCTTGGCCCTTCAATCCTCTACTGACGAACGTTTCCGTCACTTCCAGTTTTTTCTCCTTTCTAAGCATCGCTGCGGTGCCCATGTCCGGGTGGGCCGTTCTTCGGCTTCGCAGCAGCCCCTGAGCTCGCGTCAATCTCACTGCTCTCGCAAGCACGGGCCAAAGTTGTCTTCCTTCACAAAGCCCTTCAGGGCCGGCTCAGGGACCATCGGTGGCTGTCGTCCCCCTCCCCGTGTCCCTCTCGAGCTCCCGAACCTCTTCCTTGGGCAGCAACCAGGCACTGACCCACGGCAGCAGCCAATTCACAGTTACCAAATGCCATAAAGGTGCTAAGAGGGGCTGATGGCCCCAAGGCATGAGCGCTCAGTCCAGGCTTTGGCCGCCTCTGAGTCCTGTGCGAACACCCCTCCCCCCACAGGGCCCCCTGGGGTCACTGTACCTGTAGGAGGATGGGATGTGGGTTGACAGCCAGCGTGTAGAGCAGACGCAGCTTGTCACGGTCTGTGAAGTGGTCCATGAAGATGCTGCCAGCGTCAGCCACCTCAGCGTAGCGCCGGACCACGCGGTCCAGGAGTCGCTGTGACGGGCAGCGCAGGAGGGGACTGGGCAGGCCCTGTGGGACAGGGGAAAGGCAGTCGGCGGGGGGGGGGGGGGGGGGGGGGGGGAAGGGGAGACCTTGGGTTCTGGAGCCAAGTGGGCTCTGGCAGGACCCGCAGCTGGGGAGGGTGATGACTGGGTGCCGGCTGAGCGTTGCAAGAGGAAGGGGAAGAAGAGAGCGAGCCCCAGGAGACTAGTCAAGTGGTGCTGGACTTTGGAGGGGAAAAGAGGGAGCCCCCTGGAGCGGAGGCCACTGAGTTGTTCAGGAAGTTAAGGTAAGTGGCAGTGGGCAGCTAGCTTACTCTCAGCAGGCAGCAGAGGCCTTGGAGGCCTGCGTCTCCGCCACCATCACACTGCCCAGCCCTTCCATATAGTGCTAGTCTCAGGCCGAATGGATGGAACTGGCCCCCCTACAAGTGGCCTTTTTGATTTCTTCCAGCATTTCACCAGTTATAGCGCCACGCGTCATTACCTACTGCTTTGTTCTTAGGAAGATAGGGATCTATTTTCCATTACCTTCTAGGCCTTCCCAATACCTTTCTCCTCACTGAACAATAACAACGAACCTTCTAGAAGAAAAGAAACAGTTAAGAACAGGTCCTGGGTTCCCTCTGTGGACTCAGCCCTACCACCCACAAGCTACTCTGGATCTCTGTACCTCCAGTTCTCGTCTAAAGTGGGGGTACTAGTAATAGCACCCTAAGCAGTTCATGGGATCAACTCAGTTAATAGATATAAAATACTAAAGTAGCATCTGGTGAGCAGAAAGAACACAATGCTATCTACGCTTATTAAATGAAAGAAGTGTAAATTGCGGGCCCTGCGAGTAAACATGACCTGTAAGTTCCGAGAGGCTGCCTTCGAAGATCACACACACCAAGGTCTGCAAGTCCCAGGGCAGAGTGACTGTGGAACATGCTTGTTGGCTGCCTGCCTAGCGGGAGTTCTGGCTGAGCGAGCCGCTGGGGTAGGTGGCTAAGGGCAGTCTGAAGAGCCTTGGCACCCTAGCAGGGAGCAGCCAAGCAGCCCGGGGCCCTGGTATCCCTTGGGTGGGGGGCAGCAGGGTGGAAGGACCTCGAAGGCCTTTGAGGTTAGAGAGGGCACGGACGGGCAGAGTAGACTGCCCAGCCATCCTGATGTTTTGGGGTTGAAGTTTCCTGGGTTGCACTACCACAGGATCACAGCTGGACTGTGGCTGGGGGCAGAGTATGTTCTGCCTGTGGCCCAGCACAGATTGGCAAAGAATAGTATGGGTGGTTGTCAAACTGCCACAATCAGGGTGCCGGATGAGCTCCTGGACTCCTCAGAGAGATGGTGGGGTTCGGGGTGTCAGGATTCTGGAGTAGGCACGATGGGATGTTGCTGAGCTTGCCTGTCAGGGCTTAGATGACCCCCCATACCCCGCAACCACCCCAGAGGGCTGAGAGCATAGGCACACAGCGCAAGGAGAGAAAATTAAAGGACTGTCCATTTTTGTGCCTCAGAGTCCGTGAGTGCCTGATCCATGTGTGCTCCATGCTTTGGGAGAGTTTCTAGAGTAGTGGGGACCAAGCCATTGTGTTCCGGGCAGTGGGCTGGGTTATTTCACATGCGATAGCTTCCTTCGTCTTCCTAGGCACCGCTCGAGGCAGGTGCTCTAATCAACCCCATTTTGCAATTGAGGAATTGAATCTGCTATGGATGCATGTTTGTTCCCCATAACCAGCCCCTACCAAAACCATAGCAAGCAAACCAATGCCATGTGCTCTATAGAAAATGCTTTCCTACTCTTCTCTGTGTTATTTAAGCCTGATTCTCCTCTGGCTTCTATGCCAGGCTTGATCTTGGTCAAGTGTAAGGCCTCTGTTTCTTCCAGATGTGCTGGACTGAAAACCACATGTATTCACACTTCAGCATTATAATCCTATCCAAAATGCCAAAGTCTTTTAAAATTAGCTGAGATTTTTTTTCAAAAGCAAGAAAGATAGCTTTAAAAGCTGTATTTAGGATTTGGATATATGCCTGCACTAGCACCATTTTTTTCTTCTTCTAGGGAATAGATCATTCTGGGATTTCTAGTTCTGATAATAACAGAATAACTTTTATCAGACTCAGCCATTCTGCTGTAAATAGCACTAGAAGCTGGACAAAATATATACAACTATGTGCAGGCGTTCAACGGACATAGGGTAATGATCCTTGTAAGAAAGGATGAACATGAGATGAGTCCCGTATTCACACTCTCTTTTTTCCTTAAGACCATTTTCCAAGGTGCAATTCAGGATGTTGCTAGATAGAGGAAGCAGCAGTGGTGGGCGGGCCTGCCAGAGTAGCCGATCTTGGAGGACAGGGTCTTGTAAAGGAGAAAGGCACAGAAAAGGAGCCTGAAGAATAGGTGAAATAATTCCCCTTCAATCTTAGGCTAATTCCTAAACCTCATAGGAGTAGGATGGGACACTAGAGAGGTAGCAGAGATCCACATGAGAAGGCTCTATCATGGAGCAGAGATCTCAGAGGCTGCATAGTGCTGGTGAGATGATGGCTGGAGTCTGGACGAGACACATTAGTGAGCGCTCTGGGCTTTCAATAGAACCTTAGAAAATCCACATTCTAGCAGCAAAGGACCATGTAGTCCTAGGATTAAGAACAAAATTGAAAGCGACCTGCACTCACAACGTCTAAAATCACTCTCAACAGGATTAAGGCAGTGGTTTTCACCTGGGGGCAATTTTTTTCCCCCAGGGGATATTTGACAACATATGAAAACAATTTTTGTTTCTGTTGTCACAACTGGGAGTGTGACACCGTTGGCTTCTAGTGAGTCCGTTGGCATCTAGTGGGTCAGGGTCAAGGACACTGCTAAACATTCCACAATACACAGGAGACCCCACCCTCTCCTGAAGCCCCCCAAAACATTGATCCAGTTCAAAATGTCAATAGTTCTGAGTTTGAGAAGCCCTGGATTTAGGTTTATGTGAGCCATTTAATTGGCTACTGGAACAACAATCAACAATCTTAAAAAAATTAACATAATTCAGAACCTCTACAATGTATTATCCTTAAAATCCAATCATCAATAAAAACTACCAAAAATTGCAAAGAAGCAAGAAAAACTAATTGATAATTAAGAAAAAAACTATAGAAGTAGAACCAGAACTGGAGATAGTCCATATGTTAGACTTAGCAAATGTGGGATTCAAAGTAATTATGATTAAACTTGTAAGAAAACAGAGGAAAAGTCATAAAATTAATGAAAATGAGAGAATTTCAACAAGGAATTAGAATCCATAAAATCAAATAGACATTCTAGAAATACAAAATGCAGTATTTGAAATAAAAAACTTACTGACTGAGTTTAACGTTAAAAGAGACAAACAGCACAAAAGAAAACATGAGAATAACGAACTATAGATGAGCGATAACATAGTAAATGTTATTAGAAGTAAATAAGTACATACCTTTATAACCATAGAATAATCAGGATGCTCAAAGCACTAACCTTAAAATAGTTAACAAACTGGACTTCAATGAAATTTAGAATTTCAGTTCATCAAAAGATACAACTAAGAGAGTGAAAAGGCTAGTCTGGGAGGAGATATTTGTAGCAAAGAACTTATAGCCATATGAATATATCTTTTACAAATCAATAAGATAGATGGATGACCGAATTAAAAGCAAACAACTCTGTTACAAAAGATGAAACCAAAGTCTCCAATAAATACACAAAAATGTCTCTATATTATTAGCTTTGAGAAAAATGCAAATTCAGACCACACAATGAGATACTGCTAGACAGCCACCATGATGACTAACACGAAAAACTAACAATATCAAGTGTTGATAAAGATGTGGAAAAATGGAACTCTCTCTTTTATTACTTATAACAGGAAATCAGTACAACCATTTTGAAAAACTGGTTCTAGCTACTAAATCTGTTCATATGTACATGCTGTGTTTTCATTTCTATATGCTTATATTCACCAATTGACATATATAAGAATGTTAGCAACTGCTTGAATTCACAATCACTCTAAATACAACCCAAATCTTCATCAAGAGTAGAATGAATCAAGTGTTGCAACATCATACAATGGAATCTTATACTGCAATGAAAAAACAAGCTATGGATTCTTACAACAATATGGATAAATAGCATGATAACATGTTGAGTATATACTGTGGGATTCAAAACCAGGCAAAACTAATTCCTGGTGATTTAGGTCAGAATAGTAATCATTGGGAATGGACAGGGTGATCATCTGTGCCCATTTGAAGGATTTCCATGGATTGGGCCTTTCAGTGATAAAACCAGCATAGTCTCAAGAAAATTAGATAGGAAGGGGATATTAAAAAACCTTCAGAGGTTCTAGAAAGATTCAGTTTCTTAATGTGTATGGTGGGTACATGAGTGAACATTTATAAAAATATACCTAGCTGTATAGTTAAGATTTGTGCATTTAATTATACAATTTATACTTTGACTTAAAACGTAAAAAAGACATATTTTACAGGTACAAAAAAATGAAAAACCTTTTGAGTAGAGCCATGGGGAGAATTTTGGTGAATAACAAAATGAAGGTACACTTTCATTCTTAATGTTTGCCTGTCTTTGTCAAGTGTTGGGCCTTTGATCTGAAAAAGGTGGAGCAAAAAGTGAGGAATAGGAATGGGAAGCCATAATGTGTAAAGGAACGCTTCATCGTTCTGAATGAGTTTTCCCTCCTGGAACATTAGTAGCAACCTTGCAAATGATGTTGCTGAACCGCAGGCAGTGAATGTAGAAAGCATGAAAGGAGTAAAAAACCATTTCTGATATTCAAAGGAGCAAGAGGATAGATTTCATTAATTAGTGATTAGTGGACTGTTTCTGGATCATAGGGAATATTCTAACACAGGTTATTAACAGGATGATTTGTGCACCTTTAGAAGAGGTAGTGACAAGGAATTACTGAGGATTCAATTAATCAAATCATTCTAGACTAACAACTTTTTTCTTTGAATTAGTTATTTGATATCTGAAAAGAATAATGCAAATGA